ATTAGGATAAGGAGGAGGAGGAGCAGCAACAGCAAAAACAGTATAGAAGGCGGCTGCTAGTCTCAAATCACAAAAGAATCGTTGAACCATGCTGAGGTGACAACGCGGGCTGGCTGAGATTGAGAAATCCACGCAGTGTCCCTAGTTTAATTTTTTTTTTTGTTTATTCACACCAGACATTTTTTCTCTACGCTGCATTTCGAGCCGACACCGATTATTAGTGCGTTTCCACGGCGAGCTATGTAATATACTAATATGTGCTATCACGCGGAAGTCGTTCGACGGAATTTCAAATAAAACAATTTTTTACTTATACATAGATGTATAACAAATTACGTATTTCATTATGTATAGAATATTATATTGTTGCTACGTTTGTTTTCTTTTCCGTTTATATTTTGCGTAGGCATATACTATATACATCCCATACCTATATCGCGTCCAATCCACTCRAAATAATAACGAGTTTGCGTTCATTCTTCAGTCTATTTATTTTAGTACCCAACACTCAACAGACATCTGGAATTCTCAAACGAGTGAGTGTATTTGATTACTTTACGAGCACTCAATTTTTAACATATAGTTGGCGCATTTTTTATAAACTATATAATGTTGTGTATACAATATTTATAACGTATTTCACCAACATTATAATATATTATATTGACAATTTTCAATTCATTTTTTTCCGCTTGAGTGAATATGTTTCATACATTTTAAATGCAATTTATTTTTACCAAAACAAAAAAATAACAAAACATATTCAATTTACAAAATTTACAAAATTTACTGCAAATATATAAACATTATTATTTAAATAATTACATTTTTTGTAAGATCRCTATATTATCCTATAATATATTTTTTGAATTGGTAAATTTCGATTACCTATATGTATTTGCTAATAAGTTATAATATTTCAAATATTTGTTAATGTAACCTCTACGTTATAGAAATGTAAAAAATCTATGTAGGTTAATATTTTAAACTTAATGTGTGTTATCGAGTTTTCAAAAATATGATACTCAGGTATCATAAACATTTTAAGCTTAAAGTTCATGAAAATAACAAAAAATGTCAGTAATACTATATTTTGTCATTTTCACATATCTCTATAATACCAGGCAGGACGCAGGTATATGAGTAATTTAATTGAAGTATTCATTATATACTATACTATAGAATATRGATAGTATTACTTTCAACTCGTATGTAATTTAATATTTTATTATTATACGCTTGCAAATTAATTGAAATACCTTACTTATATTTTACCGTGTCCTTATGTTACTTTATTATTTCTAAGTGCGATGTATTTTTAAACAACTATAAAAGTATATAGCAGTATTATAACAATAATTAAAACATTGAATATCAKWGMCATTATTTATTAGTTGTATTAAGTATTATGCTGTGATAAAATATAATAACATACCTAAATATAACTCCACCATAGAACTAGTTAGACCTAAAGTAGTTAGTACCCAACTCTAGTTAAATAAATTGGTTATATTCCATAAAGATTATTGATTAATATCCAAATAGTTCTATTAAATTGTTTAGTTTGAAGAAATAATGACAATTGAGTAATTTATTATGCAGGTACATATCATGTCCGTGGACGCCGAAGAAAAATGTTGTGCAATATTGAATGTCATGTGTATTCTTTTAAATGTGTAGAGAATACTGACTGTATACATCGACTGTACATAGGTATTTACGTGAGGTCATCGACGGGCAAAGAGGATCGACCTTTCATCACTTTATTTTTTATACTTTATTTCTTCGTTTTTTCCTATTCAGCACACCTCTGTCTTTATGTAGTGTTTTTCTGGGTTTATTCTCTGTTTTTGTATACGTATTACATATTTATAGCTATTACTTATTTCTATTCCAAGATGACTTGAAGTGGTGTGTAATGTAGCCGAAAAACACGCGCTCATTCAATCGTTACAACGATGAAGAACATAACGGACACACAACCGTTAGAGCAGACCTATGCGTACTGTTCTGCATTGTGCCTGCACAATACTCGTTCGTATTACATTCGTTCATTTCTTATATAGATAGGTATATATACCTACTTCCCAATGACTCAACCGACGTTTCCAAAGTAGTAAAATAAAATAAGTATAGAACTATTTATACTACTAACTTATTAATTTAATTTAATAAAATTATATTTATATAGTTAAAAGGGAAAGCGATCATTGGACGATTTCTTCCCTCACCCTTTTTTCGTGTATTAATAAATTGCTTGAAGCATATATTCTTATTAAGCCCTTAGGCTTGATTGTATATTCTTTATAAAAAAAAATATACAAAATCAAAGATTAAAACAATACTATCCCGAAAAACAAAATATAAAAATCATAAATTATTAATTTATTAATATGTCCCATACAAATGTTACAACTAATATAATCGTCGTTTTTTTGTCTATAAAATTAATTCAATGATCCTAATATTATACTGTTATATTACTATGTAGGTATTATTTCAGAATGCAGATATCATATTTAACAGAAAAATTAAAAAGATAGTGATATAATTGAAGAATGGCGAATCGGGATCGAATACATAATATTATATTGTTACAAGATCATAGCTCACAAGTGCAGCGTTGCAAATCATTAAAAAAAATAGTATAAGACACCAATACAAAAARTATAATACGCATTGATTATACATATGTGTACGATACGTCACGTATGTTTTATCAATGTTATAAGATTATAATAGGTACCTATCCACTATTGGCATGAATAATTATATTTTATATAGGTATTGATAAAACTATAATCATCGTAAAATGTGAATAATTGTAAATTGCGCTTAATGTCATGTAGATTCTATATTCGCACACAACATGATATGATACTATAATTTAATGTTTTATAAAATTATGTACCGTTACGGCCCTGCAGTGATGGTACTTTAACAAGGTGCGGTCGAGACTCATATACTTAGTGAAAAATAATATGATATTTTAATCTTAATATTATATTATTCTTGATACAAACTATGAGTTTAAACACCTTAATCAATACAAATGACCAGCTATACACATATTCACGACGATTCATGCCTATAAAATATTAAACGTAACCAATTAATGTGTAATTATAAGTTAAACAAAATATTATTTTTATTTAAGACTATTTTAGTACCCATCATATAAATAATTAGCTATGAATAATTGTTCTGGTGTCATAACATTTTATAGATATAGTAGTTGACAGAGCTATAGTAAAAGTCAGGCGGTCATCGCAATAGGGTCGCTAAACTTGGACAAATTTCTTAAGCCAAAAATATTGGTCTATTTTTATTTATTTWTTTTTAGACTCTAAAAAGTATTTTAGTTTTTAATTTGATYGCACTYTAGATGTCTCTCATAATTAACAAATTTCTGAAATTATTCGATTTAGTGTACCTACCTACTTATAATTATTGTGATTTATATATTATATTTGTAGAAATGCATTATATTTTACGCGTGACATGATAAAAAATATTGTATAGGTAGKTACACTATATATGTACTGAAAAATACTAGAAATCGACAAAACAATATTATTAACGAATAACGATATAGAACTTCACTTTTGACAACTTTCAAGTTATATATATATATATAAATAATATAAAATGGTGAGCTTCATATGATAATATATCRCCTCGTAATTTTCATACGAACGGTACATAAAAAAATCTCTGAAAACTGCAGATACACAAAATAGTGTGGCACATAATACAATAATATTATGTACCTATAGTATCTAATACAGTTTATGTATTAAACATGTATGATATGTGACATAAATCGTTATTAGTTAGAATATTTCATTTTTTACCACCATCACCAATGCACATAGTAATAACAACGATGYACCGCACTACGATACATATCTACTTACACTTTCAATGAATGTGCATTATTGCGGTGATTCGAACAATTCCGCATTGCATAAACACTCCATCATACGCGCGCAATGTGTATGAGAGGCAATAACCTTCAGCATTCCATGTTCCCCTGTTTCCCGTTCACCTCACAAGTCGTTAACATATAATATAACAGTAAAGATAAAAAAACACCGTTTTTTTCCATATCAATTTAGTTTGACTACCGCTGCCACGCGTTTGTCTATCGCAATCGCTGTAGTCAATTATAAAGACATCAAAAACTATGACCGTACCGTGACTTGGGTACTTGGCGTAATAACAAAATTTTCGGTCAATAATTAAAAAACATTCGACTTTTAGTCATGAATAATAATATATAAGTACTCAAGTATACCTCTGCATTTCATCTGCGTAACATGATTTGTTCGAAGGTGGAATACCTAATATACAACAAAAATACAATTGATAATAATAGGTATTGATGAGGTTTTTAAATACTGCAATATATTTATAAACATATAACTATTTCCTTATTAATCTAAATATTAATAATAAAACAACTGATATCATATATATCTATCATAATACATATATTATTTCTTACTATTTTATCATATCATACAGTGTTTAGTAAATACCTTCACGATTATTATAAAGTTCAGTGACACAGTAATTGGCATAATCTTAAATTTCGTAAGTGTCGTTTATTGTATTTCAATATAATCCTTATACTTTTTGAATGATTATATTAATTTATTTTATCGGGCAATAAAATATCAATGGTTTATTAGCAATTCTACTTAAAATTTATGTTAAGTACCCTCTTGCAGTTTATTATCATTTATAAATAATTCTGACATAAATAGTATTCTATCATTTATAACGTACCTATCTACCTATTTAAGTGCATAACATATATAATTTGATATACCTATGCGATATCTTAGATATTGTACTATATAGGATTTAAAAAACCTATCTAAAGTTTTCAATTATTATTAAACATTGACTTTAAGTAAAAACTAGCTTGATGTTAGTAGGTACTTAATATGGTATTGGTTTACRGTAAGACATAAAGGAACGACAATATAATTAGTATTTACTATTATGTCGTATAGTGCGTATACCAATTATTATTTATTAGCATTTAACTTTTTAAACTTTATTTGATATAATTACTTAAGTAAACTAATCCGTGGTTCTTAGACTGTTGAACCTTAAAAAGGATATGCGAAACTTTTTCAGGCAACAATTATTGACTTTAGCGCTCTGAAAATGTTTTTTGTAATAATATTATAGTAGCTTAATAACTGAAAATCAAAAAAAAAAAATTTTAAAGAATATTAATAGTCAACACAAATAATATATAACTAAATATAAATATTACACTTTACTTATATATTTAAAAAAATCATCATATAATTTTAATTATTAAGTAATTTTTTTCAGACATTTATTAAAATAAAATTTTTAATTTTGATCACAGTAACAAAAATGACACTATGACTGAGGGTGCCGAAGGTTGCAGCGACGATCCGCTGGCTTCATTACAGTTTGACGTCGCTTCCGGTGGCCCGTCGTCAGAAAGCCAACAGCTCGAGAGTCAGGCGGAAGTGTCCACATTGTGTATACCGTCGGCGGACAATGATATCGACAAAATAATCGCTGGTGAATGGCATGGAGGAGAATGCAAAAGTATGTTTGCGGTTTGAGAAATACCTTAAATTTAAAAATAATATATATWTTGGAACATCTATTTAACGTATATTACACTCATTATTCAAAAACTTTAATAGTTTTTTAAAACAAAATGTTCCTAAGAACATATATTTTTTCTATTTTTTATTTTTTATTTTTTAATGAAGACATTCAATTTTTACTTTAGATTCTGAGCATATATAYCTAACTAATATAATTTATTTTATTTTTTAAATATTTAAAATTTAAACTATACAAATAAAAAGACAGTTTTTAATTATATAATATTTATTTATTGTACCTACCTATAGTTATAGAATATTGCAAATAATTTTTAAATTTTTAAAATTTTTATTAGATATAAACAATCTGTACAATATTAGCACAATAAGCTTATTTGATGAGAGCATAGACAAAACAAAACAAATCAGAAAAAAAATGAAATAAAAATAAGACATGAAACGTATGATTAAGCAGCCACCCATTAATGACTCTTGGCTATTGATTAATTATTATAATTACATATAGAGACGTTAGTCATTTAAATTTTGTAAAAGGTCACGGCACCATTTCCTTTTTAATCTGCGGTTAGGATTTCCTGGGAGTGTAAGGATGGAAAGATCTTTTATGAGAGGGTTTGAATGGGTTTGAAGTCGTTTGTGAAAACGTGTGTAAAAAATGTGTGCTTCCTCTTCAATTGTTCTCATATGAAGATCATTATGAAGAATTTGTTATAGATATAAGGCGGGGCATTAGATAGTCGTCGGATTGATATATTTTGGTATGTGTTTGGATTCGATTAGTGTTGGATTTTTTTGCAGCACCCCACAGGTGGAGTCCATACGTCCAGATTGGTTTAAGTAGAGTTTTTTAGATTAATAGTTTGGTGTTAAGGGTGGAGCACTTTTTCTAATTAAGAGAGATCTGAGCATGCGCATGCGATTATTTAAAGTTATTTGTTTGGTTTGTAGGTGTTTATTCTATGTCGGTCTTTTATCAAGGATCAATCCTAGATATTTTCCAGTATCGGAAGTGGGAATTTGTACATTTTTAAGGGTTACGTTTAGACATATCCCTTGTTTGAGTGTGAACATTGTGTGTATGGATTTATTTTGATTGATTTTGACTCGCCATTTTTGGTACCATTCGGATAAGTGATTTAGATGTACTTGTAAGTTTGATGAGGCAGTTAGAGGATTCTTATTGATAATAAAATTACTTTGTCGTCGACATAATTGGCTACAATAGTTTGTTGCGTGGTGGATTGRTCAGCTACGTAGACGTTGAAGAGAAAAAGGGAAAGTATACCACCTTATGGTACACCCGCTTTAATTGGTGTGATTMCTAAAATCGATGAGTTGTATTGGACTTAAAAATGTCTATCAGCCAAATAAGATTTAATTAATAAGTATAATGAAGAGGGAAGACATTTTTTAAGTTTAAATTGCAAACCTTTATGCCACACTCGGTCGAACGCTTGTGCTACATCTAGAAAAACACAAGWGCAATATAGCTTTTTTTCCAGGGATGTAGAAGAAAATAATTTAACGTCTAATAGTTTTGTTTCCTATTTTATCTGTTTTTAAAGTTCTGTTATGAAGAGTGGCTATACCAAATACAATATGAAGGTGGCTGATCTTACCATGATGTGTGTGTTTTATTTTTTGTGTCTGTCATCACGTTTTGAGGAAGTAAAGAAGCTTCGATTTTCGACTGTAGTACYTTATTGTTAGATCAGAAAGTGAATCTAGTTGGTACTTAGGGGTGTCAAAAATAAAAATTCTMAATATTTTGTTAAATAATCGGAATAAACAAACTGAAAATTAAGGAAAAACGGTAAATTTAAAAATTTTTTACTCAAGTTGAACTATTTATAGGCATTTGCAATTTTCGATCATAATTAGTTTTTTTWAAATTTTTATCGATATTTATAGAAAAAAAAACAAAAAAAGTTGAAAAATTAAAATATCAGTAAACAGCTCAAAACAAATCTAAATATTTTGAAAATGTTATCAAATATATAAAATGCCTATATAAACATTGAGTGAAAATTTYAAGTATTTGCGGTCATTTTTTTTAGAGTTACACCAAAATAAGAAAATCGCCAAATGAGAAATCTAGTGAAAATCCAATGTTGTAAAAATTTGAATTTCAAACGCTTATAAAAACTTAATTTGATTATTGTTATTTTATGATAAAGGTTGACGAACTTATAAGAAATCTTGTATTAAATTTTAAATCTTAGATTGAAAAAGAAAATTTTTTATGAATTTCTAGCTTAAGATAATTTGGGAATTTGTGTGATTTTTACGTATTTTGTCAAAATTTAAATTTAAATGCTTGTAAAAAAAAAATGTGACTAT